GGTACTGACTCAATGGCACCTAACAACAACAACAGTTCCTTTAATGATTCATCCATAGAAGATCATTTTGAGTTGTTACATGTTTTTAGCTAGTATATGTAATTCTCCTGTGAACAGCTGAATAATGTTTATTTTGTGAACTTTAAGTTTTCATTTCTCTGAGATAAATGTCTAAGTGTGAGTTATTTTAATTTTGACAACAGCGAATTTATATCATGAATATTTTTCATCTAGATTTTTGCATGAATCAATTTTTTTTATTATTATTATTGGGTAGTATACATTTGCTTGGCTAAACCACAATTTATTTGTTCATTCTCAAGCAGATAAACATTTGGATTGATGCAAGTTTTTTGACATTTGTATACATATGTTTATAAGGAAAGATGCTGACTTTTCTTTAGGGCACATCTGTGTGAGTAAATGACTATTTTCTAGGTGATAATTTATTTACACAAAAAACACACACATTCTATGATTGTCAACTACTGTGTCTCCAAAAAGCTCTGGTAGCATACTGGTTACAAGTAGGGCTGATAACCTCAAGGTGAGCAGTTCAAAATTACTATCCATTCCACAAGGGAAAGATGAGGCTTTCTGTTCCCAGAACGATTTAGAACCTCGGAAACCCTATACAGGGTAGCTATGAGTCAGAACAGACTCCTCAGCATACTGCCACCATCATGTCCCCATTGGTGGAATTTTTGTAAAGGTGGTAAGCTTTTTCACCCTTTATTTTACAATAACATTAAAAAATACTTGACTTTGTGGTACTTACGAAAATATCTCTCAATGGGAAGAAACAGTTAACAAACAACTGCATTAGGCACATGTTATTTAGCAACAAGACTGATGTTTGAAAGAATTATTATCTACATCATTCTAATTTTTCCAGTAGCAGTTTATGAATATTCAATTCCTTCATCTACTTATTAACCACTAGATATTTCAATAGATATATAAAGGTACATAATTAGTGCTTCAACCTGAAAGTCATTAATGAATAATAATAAGAAATTTTTAATGCTTAATTGCCATCTGTATAAGTTCTTTTTTTTTTTTTTTACCATTTTTGTGGTTTGTTTCTTTTTGTTTTGAGACCTCTTTATATATATTATTAACAGAATCATTTAAGAGATACATCATTTGAAAATATTATCTCTCAGAATATAATTGTTTGGATGCAATCCTCTTTTTAAGAGTAGATGTTTAAAAATGTGATGTGGTCAAATACATATGGATTTTGTTTTCTATACTGAATATAATAAATCTTCAAATGTATTTATAAGGTGAATACAACCAATTGAAATCCAAATAGATTTTTAAAAATAAACTGAAAACAAATTTAAAAAGCAATGTAAATTATGTTTTTAATGATATGTCTACTGTTATTGTTAAGTGACTTAATGTGTTGGTTGTAACATCCACTAAAATATTGAACAGTTTTTGCAAGAGTAGACTTACTTGTTATAGCCAAGGTTTTACTGAGAATGTATTTGAGATTTTACTATTATGATTAATGGTAGTTCTAGGTTGTCCACGAGTGCTCTCTATCAGTTTCAGGAAGTTCCATCTTAACACTTGTTGTTGTTATGTGCCGTGGAGTCGGGTCCGACTCGTAACGACCCTGTACAGGGTTTCTGCGGCTGTAAATCTTTACGGGAGCAGAAAGCCTCATCTCTCTCCCACGAAACAGCTGGTAATTTCAAACTGCTGACCTCGCTGTTCGCAACCCGATTCATAACCACTTCGCTACCAGAGCTCCTTTTAATACTACTTTGGTCCAATTTTTAGAAAAGGTAAAAAATTTCTCTGCATGAAGTTTTTTGATGTATAATGTTTTATTTTGGAGTCTTGGTGTGGCACTGCAGGTTAATGCACAGGAGTGCGAGGTTGATTTCACCGGCATGATTGGCAGTTCAAATTCACCAGCCACTACTCCGAAATTCTATACAGGGTTATTATGAGTTGGAATTGACTCGATAGCATGTAGCAACAACAAAAGCAATGTCTTATTTACAATGAAAGTCTTGCATTGATTATTTAATGCAGAACCAATGATGCATACCTGAAACACACAATTTGATATATTTTACTTACAAATTGCAAGATTAATTTATAAACTTTTTTATAACAGACTTTCCACATATATGCTTGCTTGCTTAATTTTCTTTTATTGCCTTTGTGTTTGATGTCAAGATAAAGCTATTCTCATAGACAATTGAAAATATAGTGTGCTCGTCAATGTTCTAGAAATATATGTACAGAATTCCTTAAATGTTTCATAGAAGTTCACAATCAAGCCACTTAGACTTGTTTGAAGATGGGAAGTAGTTTAACTTATTTTTATGTGCAGCATAAAATTATATTTAAAATCATGAGAATTTTTGAGTGTTAACAGAAAAACACAGTAAAAATGCATGAGAAATTAGAGGGGAACATGGAGTAAGTTAGCCTGATATCATAGGAAACACATAAAATGTTACATATTACACTTCAATCACTAGAAATACAGCGTCGGAAGAACCATGAGATTATCATTCCTTTCTTCTTCTTCTCACTATAATTATCAAAACTGTGTTTATTTCAGTCATAGATCCTGATTACAATATAGTACACAATGTTCACATTTTAGAAAATGTAGTCAAAAAAGAAAGTTGCAACAAACTTAGCCCATTGTACAGTGGACCTCGTATACAAGGACATACAATCAATTCCAAGACATCTTCTATACAAAAACAATCAATGTTTTCTGAAGGGAAAAGTATATCAATATGAGACAAATACAATTAGGAACAGTATCAATAGAAAACAAAGCAAAAAAATAACTTGGAAACGTCAATGACTGATCTAAATAAATTTATTTTTTAACTGCCATTTCCACTTATAGAGATGAAATGGATTGGATTAGTCAAAGCAAGATGCTGTGTTTATTCTGCTGAACACAATAACTTGAAATTCTTACTGTTTATATTGCTATCACAAAATATTTTAAAACAATAACAAAGTTGAGAATCCCTAGTTCTTCTATATGAAAGGCAGAGTACTGATGATGAATGAGAGTGATTTTAAGTCTGGAAAACAGACATTTGAGAAAAATCAGATAACTGATTTATAAATCATTCCCCCACACTGAATCTTCTAGCAGTGAGAATAAACCACAGACATAAACAAACACACAATTTCAGCAAATACTTTTCCACTGATGAGGAAAACACCAGATATTTGGAATTCATATTATATTCACTACTGCTTACCTATTCTACTCAGTGTATTAATTCTAATTTTATTTACTAAAAATCTATCATCCCCTCCAAATATTTTAATTTACTATATTTCATAATTAAATGCTTATAACGAAACTGTTCTTTTTCTTAAAGAAGGCAATGTGTTTTACTATCTTATAAATGAATCTACTTCATCACTAAAATAGAGTGACTGGGAAAAGGCAATCTAGAAATGCATGTTTAATTTGTCTGTGTGTTGAAGCACACTGAAAATAGTTTAAAGTCCAGTATGAAATTTGCATGACTCACACGGTTTAATGAACTTTGAGAAAATATTGTTTACAATCTTCCCAAGCCCTACGCAAAGCGTATTTTACATCTTTGTTCCTCAAACTATAGATCAAAGGATTCAACATAGGGATAACCAGGGTGTAAAATATGGAAGCCACTTTATCATTATCAGAAGAATGACCAGACTTGGGCTGCACATACATAAAAATTAAAGTCCCATAGAACACTACCAACACTGTTAGATGAGATCCACATGTGGAGAAGGCCTTGCGCCTACCTTCTGCAGAGTTCATCCTGAGAATAGCTACAAGAATGAGCAGGTAAGAAATTAGAACTACTAGAAGGGATAAAATCAAATTAAAAACTGAAAAGATTAATATTATCATTTCTATTTCATGTGTGTTTGAGCATACCAAAGATAACAAGGGGAGACTCTCACAGTAGAAATGACTGATTACATTGTAGCCACAGAAGTTTAAATTAAAAATCTTTATGGTGACCAGAAGAGATACAAATGTGCAGTAGAGATAGGGGACTGTCACCAGCACATGGCATGTCCTTTGGGACATAATGACTGTGTAGAGCAGAGGGTTACAGATGGCCACATAGCGGTCATAGGACATGGCTGAGAGAATGAACAGTTCACTGCCAATGAACACAATAAAGAAAGCTAACTGTATAGCACAAAAGTAATAAGAGATTGTATTTTCATCCACAACAAAATTTACCAACATTTTGGGTCCCACAGTTGTTGAGTAACCAAGATCAGTGATAGCCAGATGTCTGAGAAAAAAATACATGGGTGTTTGTAGCTTGGAGTCTATCGTGGTGAGGATGATCATGCCCAAGTTGCCAACCACTGAGATCATGTAGATGATGAGGAACAGCACAAACAATGGAGCCTGCAGCTCAGGGCGGTCAGTGATTCCTATCAGGATGAATTCATTCAGCAATGTTTGATTGTGTTTGTCCATCTAGGTCTATCAGGAAACCTATTCTGGGTAGATATATCAACAGAATCAATAACTTTTATGTAGTATTGAAATGAGAGATCTCCTTGAGAATTCAGAATTTCTAAAATCAGCAGAGCTCTCCTGGCCTTGAGGCAGATAGGGCAGAAACAAGCCTCACAGGTGGCATTTACTGTATGGTATTGTTATTTGAACTCATACGGTAACACTGACCTTGTTATTGTTAGATAGTTTTCTTGTGAACAGACTAATCCTCTATTTTTGCTTCTGTACTCTTTGCTTCAGCAAATTCCTTTTGATAAGCCCCTAGACCCTGAGCCAAGAACTTAGCATATGTAAGCTAGCAGCTATTTCCCTACAGCATGGGAGGCCTGGGAGAATTCATTTCCTACTGCCGTCTGCCTATAGTTGTCTGTTGTGCCAATAAAATTCTCTAAATTGGACATGATAGTGGTCATCATCTTTCTTTGGGACTCGAACTCATAATAGTATCAAGTTGTATATATTTAGCATACAGAGTCAGTATACTAGCTGTAGAAGACAAATTCAAACTTTGCAATATTGCTATTTGAAAGGAAACACAACATCCATAAACAAAGTATGCCATT